TTTTTTTTCCCCTTCCAGGGTGAGGTCGGGGTCTCCTCTCGCAGCACGGGTCACAACCTTCCCTCAGCTTCTTGCTGCTCCCCACAGAGTCACCCCAAAGCATGGCAGCGTGGGAGAAAAAAAAATAAATCAACAACCAACAAACCTATTTCCAGGAAAAAAAACCCCAAAAAACCAAAAACAAACCAACACGCAGAGTCCACGTTGCTTTTCAAATTATTTCTCCTTTGTTAACAACAAACCAGAAATACAAGATTCCACTGAAACTGGAACAGTTCACAGAATGGTTGAACTTCAAACTTGAGGAGAAGGGGGAGGACCAGACCCTTCCCAAACCCACGGGGTAAATGCAGGCAGCTGGGCTGACCAGAGGATGCAGTTTTGGTTACACCGAAAGGTAACGGATGCATTTTTGGACCCTGCGTTTTAAAAAAAAGCAAAAAAAAAAAGAGAGTTCTACCACGCTTTTGTCATCGCAGCTGTGATTTTATGTTCCTGCTTCCAATTCCTTTTAAATAAAGATTTATTTTCACGCAGATACAGAAACCGCTGGTGCCATCCGTTCGAACACAACGCAAAGAAATTCAAACTTTTATCTAAAAATCAAACCGGGAGAGTTTTCAAACCTGGGAAGTGCTCTGCACCGGGCATTTGCCAACACAAGAGGAACTTTTGGTGCAAAACAAGATTGGTGTGTCTAGAATAAGCACTACAACTAAACCTGACCTGTTTGCCCTGCTGGGAGGTTCTGTTTGGGTTTTTTTGTTGTTTGTTTGGGTTGGTGTCGTGGTTATTTTGTTTTTTTTTTTTCAGATGGGTTAAACTGAATTGTGGGTGTGAACTCGGCCCTTGGGTCACGCTTGGGGACACGGCCCATCCCAAAATGCGACTGCAGAGCTTAAGAGGCACCTAAACACGCGAGATCCCAGCACCAGCACTGATGTGGAGTAACTGCAGCAGATCTGTCACGTTCAACGTTTGGAGTAATCAGGGAAAGATATAAAAAAAACCACAATCCAAAAAAAAAAAAGATTTCATACAACAGATAGTATCAAAACATTAAAGGAACACACTAAAGTCTGATCTCTGGGTAGAACAGGGCCGCTGCCTATTCCTGCGGGTCCTTCCAGCATGAACCGGGGTTTCCGTTTTTAGCTTATGGGCACCGACATCACACACTAACTTCAACGCGAGTCTCTGGGAACCACCTTCAGTCGTTTGTTTCCGGGTCTGTCTGAGCCATGTAAGCATCCAGCTCAGCATCGAGGTGTCCTTTCGTTTTAGACATGTAAGCATCTAACTGGTTGTCCAGCTGCTCCTTGGTCAAGGCGGGACGTGCCGATCCTCTTCCTCGTCCTCTGCCTCTGCCACGACCTCCAAAGCCCCCTCGGCCCCGGCCCGCCATGCCGCGACCTTACAGGGAGACAAGATGGCGGTTACACACTCCACCAGACCCAGCCGCGGGTTTTGCCGCGCCGGATTAACTCCCCAGGCTGCTTCTGTTTCAGCCCAGACAGACATTTGATCCGCGACTAAGAGCTCTTAGCTCAGGCTCCCACCTCCCCTGCTCGGCTCCCAGCCCCGCCGACACGTTGCATACTTCTCTCCCCCAGCTCCTGCACACCTCCGGGTCGGGCTCACGAAGCTTTTGGCAAAGTGGCAACACCATCACACTGTTACGAGCAAATTTTTCCTCCAGGAGAAGGATACCCAAGAGCCCACATCGATCAGCATGTGTTTGTCAGGCTAAGAAATACAGCTAAAGCTACAAGCCAAAGCTGTCAAGAGAGCGGCAGCTTCCCGGTGACTGTCGGCTCTGACTCCTACAAACATTGGGCCAAGCCCAAGGTAACACGAGAGCGCGTCTGGCTGGTGTTCCAACCAAACATCTGGCTGAAACATTAACGACCCTACCATCAACAGCTGTCTCCTGTATTTCCTCTTGCTTTACTGCTTCTCTGATTTGTTGTTGAAAACGAAGAGTTCATTTACCCAAGACTTGATTTGTTTTCAGGCTTTGAATTTCAGTTTGTTTTGCAGGGGTTTAGGCTTTCTCCTCTGTTAAATTTCTTCCCCTCACTAATTATTTTAAGAGTCTTTTAGTTTACATAGGCTCTGTATCATTTCCTTAAGTGCAAGGAGACAGCAGAGTCTTCCTCGACACCCTGAAGATCACTCACTGCCCCGACTATTCCACACATCACCCAGCTGGGGGACAACTTCACCAACAGTCCCCCGAACCCCTCTAACAACACCGACACAAGTCAAGGATCTCGTTTGGCACAAGGCCTGGCAAATATTTCAGGAATAAAAGCCTTAATTTAGTTCTGCGTTGTACACAAATTCAAGACTAAGGGGTTTTGGGGCTGCATGTACTTACGCTAGCCTTAAAAACAATTAAAGCTTACTTCTACTTATTCAGCAGCAACGTGTTGCTCCTGAAGCCTGTGTGCACTCACCTCTGCCACCGAGTCCTCCACGGCCCATGGCACCTCTGCCCAGGCCACCTCTCCCAGGGCCACCACGACCTCTGATGCCACCTCTTCTCAGGCCCATCCTGGGGGATATACCTCGTCCTCCACGAAGCAGGCTTTGCCCTTCAATAGAGAAAGGGAATCAAATCAGAAAAAAAAAAAAAGTTTTCCGAGTCAGGCTGTCAAAAAGACATAAAGATCCAAGCAACTCCGGTTCAGCCACGGTACTGACCTCTGAGTGGGACTCCTCCTCTCAGCAGAGCTCTCGCTCCCCGGCCACCACGCATGGCTCCTCGTGGCAAGCCTCTCTGCCCCATGGACAGTCCTCTTCCTCCCATGGCTCCGCGAGCGAGGGGTCCCGCTGGCCGGCCTAAACGTGCCTGAATGTTACTTTTACCGAGGCGTTGCTTCAAGCTCTTCTGGAATAGATTTTGAAGAAACAAGAGGATCATGCAGCAATCTCCAACTTGCAACACAAACGGCACAGCAATCGCTTATCAAGAAAAGTGGTGTGTTGTTTTTTTTTAAAAAAGATAAAGAGGGTCACTAGCTCTCTGCAATGTATAATCAAGCTTCAAAGGAAGACAATGAAATTTGCTCTGGGAGGGATAATTTGTGAAGGTCAAACAGAGAACAAAGACCTTTCCTGGAAGCAAGTGTTTGTACAGAGACAAGAAAGTTTGCAGATTTGGAAGGAATAATTTTTCTCCATTTTTAGCAGTGCTGCTGAGTCCGAATCAAAGCAGACACTTAATCCACAAGGCAGCCCCCTAATCCCTTCTGCTGGAAGGTGACAGTCCAAGCAAATCCTTGAGACAGAAAGCAGCTACCCCTGCTGTGGCACAAGCCGAACCTCCCTCCCCAGAGCAAGCGCCATCTGTGCAGCCACACGCCATGGATATCATTCCCAGTGGCCTGCTGCCCCATCCCAGTTAGGCTTCCACCCAGGACTAAGGCAACAGACTAACTCAACAGCTAGGGAAAATAGCCACTTTTCCATCTATGCTGAAGAAATCTACCCAAGCCAGAAGAGCAGCAAAACAGTAATCTTTGTGAATGGGGCTTTTGAAGTTTTGAAATTAAAAATGTGACATCAAAAACCACAGAGCTGGCTTCCCTTGGGCTGGCTGTAGCAGCTCCTACCCTCAATCACCTACACCAGAACTGCTGCAGAGACTGCTCAGGTGCTCATGCAGCAGGAGCTGAACCACCAGTTTACATCCCAGTATTAACACGTACTGGTATCAATCTGGTCTCCACAAAGCAGGCTACCACTTCTGTGGGCACCACTGAACACTACAGGGAGCTAAAAAGCAACAGCAGGAACCTTCACACTTGTCTCAAGAACAAAAGCTGCTGGCCCCAAGGTGACGGGAGCAGCCACAAAGGCTGGATGTTACTACAGGTTCCAAGTTATCGCTTGTCTACAAGCCTGTGGACAGCAGAACTGGTCCCTCTAAAATCAGTCTCCTCTGCAGCTGCACTAAGATTTTAAGTTTTACTGCTTCAGTTTAGACAGTCAGTCATTCTTCTAACAGTCACAGCAGACTAAAATGTTAGCCTCTCTCTCTCACCCAGCCTGGCTGGCAAAAAAGGAATGAGAAAGCATGTGTATGTTCCAAATCCAATTATTCATTTATGTCACTTACCGTGAGAGTTTAAGATAAGCTGCTGGACTTTGCACTGAAACAGCCCAAGAGTGCTCACCCTTCTGCTCTACCTCCGAGCAGGAGCACCTTGGTCTGCTCCAGCTACTAAGTAAATGCACATCCAAAACGCAGTCAGTATAAATGCTTTTATATTAAAAAACCCCACCCCAGCAGGTTTACATAAACACTTGTGCACTCACATGATTCAAAACACAAACCCATGAATCTAGCACCAGCAGTGCTCTGCAGTTTAGGGGGGGTCCCTTCTGAAGCCCAGGTGACCATGGCTGGGATCACTGCTCCCCAGCACAGGAGGATCAGAAAAGCTCCTGGTGATACCAAGTACGTCTATCTTGTGAAAATCCAATCGCCACAGGAACTTCCAGAGCAACGGGCAATCTTTGAAGAACAATCCAGCATAAACCAGGTTTCCCAATTGCTCTGCAACACCATACCGTGACCCTCGCTTGTAGCATTTAATTTCAGAAGACCAAGAAAGTTACACCTATGCCCAACATAAAAACCAAATGGGTTTAAAGAGCTAAGCAGCAAGACTAGTTCTTCCCTGCTCCTCTGTGGCACCTCAATTCAGCAAGCAGAAACTTCAACCTTTCAATCTAGTTTCACTTACTGGTTGTGAAAGTCTTAACTTTTCAAACTTTTTAGTATTTTTTTTTTTTTTAAGCAGAAAATAATGTAGACTACCATTTCCAGAGCTTTTGTTTACAAGCCCTGCAAGGCAAACCGGCACCACGGCCTGTTTTTACAACAGAAGTCTCAAGAGATCTTAAAAAGCACCTGCATTCCTCTTTATCAGAGCAAGCTCTGAGCGTGAGCACGTCTGGCAGGCTGAAGTATTCCAGCTATTTGGTGAAGCAGCTCAGCTAAGAAATTTCTAGAGCTTTCTCTTCATGTGCAAGATACTGTACAGAATTCTATTTCACTACTGCTGTAGTCAAGTCATGCTGTGCTATCTCAACTTGCTGCACAGCAGTGAGGCACTACCCCACAGCTTTGTTTGTGCCCTACACATGCATTTTAAGCTCATCTTACCAGCCTTCCCATTTAAACACAAGCTTCAAAACTTGCAAGAAAACCCCGCAGCCTGACAGAGAGCCTGCACAAACAGCTCTCTTCTGCATTACTGAGGTTTCTGTTGTGGAGAGGTTTTGCCCCTGGTCCCTTCTGTAAGTCCAGAGCTACGGAGAAGCACGTTGAGCGCAGCAGAGAAATCAAAATTTTGCATGTTTGCTTTGGTCTTCTGCTCTACTGACAGAAGGCAACTTGAGGAACGCACCACAACCATCACTTAAACGTGGAACGATAAAGACTCTTTATAGAAGGAGAATGCAACCCTATCCCTGCAATCCAGGCCTGCGTTCTAGCATTTGCAAGCAATCCCCAAAATCAGTTTGTTCATCTGTTCCTCGCAGGCAGCTGCTATCAAGGGAGCGCACCAAGAGAGGGTGGAGTTGGGGATGGGAGCAACCAGCCTCAACTGGATAGTAAGTACTGGAAACAATCTGCAGCAATTGTAACTGCAGCTAAATCGCGAGATGAAGCACTCTGCAGATCCAGAAACCCAGAGTGAGAACAATTCTCTGAAAAAATAGAGAGGAGACATGAACAGCCAGCACAAAAAAACCCCCCACAACTCAACAATATTAACCAGTAAGTCACAAAGCATTACTTATCTGAAGTAAAAAGCAGGCTTTTCTGCAAGTCCCTTCTAGGTGTCTCTCATTTTTAACTTTCAGGAGCATTTTTCAAAATCCACCACATCCTGAAAAGCCATCTGCTGGTGACAGGCATCAACAGGCTGTCCCAAAATAATGCCACTTTCTCTCACCTGTTTAAGCTTCAAAGCAGCCTGGACAGAAGGTCTATTCTCCATCTGCTGAGCCAGTCTTCTGTTTCTGGCACTGGCTAGCTGCTGCTGCTGCTGCATGGTAGCTCGAATATTCACTGGCATCGGCTGTTTGTTCTTCAGCATGTTAGTAAAGCTTCAAGGTCGAATAAAATGGGTGTTTAAATAAAGCTTTATTACATACATTTATTGGCATTTCATGGTTCTCAAGACTGGATCTCCAGATCCCATGAACCTTATGTAAAGAGTGGTACTTAGGTCACGTCATATGTGATTACGTATTCCTTGTTTTCCACAAGTGTGCAAGAACTGGAAACTCAGAAATGACGTTGTATATTAATTCAGAAGTGACAAAGCTTTAGGTTTACTGATTTTAGAAATGGCAGAAGGAATGAAAACAAGCGATAAGCAGAGATGATCATGACAGATGGGAGAGGACATCACAGAAACAGAAAAGCAAAATGAAATCTGACTGCAAAAGCCTAATTAACCCTCAAATATCTCAGAAAAATGGTTTAAAAACTCAATGCCAGAAGGCAGCTTTATAAAAGACCTCGCCCTGAGAAGAGACTGGTTAGCCCCCAGCGCACCACAGAACTGGTGCCCTAAGAAATGCCACCACCCAAGTGCACTCACTTATAAAAACAGCTCACTTGGCAGATTCTTTGGTAAACAAAGAATCTTCTGTTTTTAAGAGCTATACAGGAGCAGAATATACAGCAAGATGGTAAGCCTCCTTAAGAGCAACCCATCAGCTTTCTACCATGTCCTGGAAGCTACACAAGACTGTAAAAGAAAACACAGATGAGGAATATGGACTGACCAAAATGAAACAGGCCAGCAAGCCTTCCTGGCACTGCACCTCAGCCCTCAGCTCCCCTGGGGTAAGCTACATCTCACTGCAGCACTTGTTAGAGCAGAACTGCACACAAACGGCTCCCTTCATCCCTGCTTGAACTGTACTAGCGTGGTTAATCCGAGAGTGATTAGTAGGAAAGTGAAACAGAACTGCAGCGTTGCTATAGAACTGCAAAAGCTCAATGGCATGGAAAAACAGAAGAATACTCAACAGAAGACACAAAGAAATCAAGAAAAGAGAGATGGAGATGAAGCAAAGCATTTGCCTCTTACAAGGCCCAAAACACTGTTAAAGGGCCTTTGGGCTTGTTTAATGGCCTGCTGCATGCCTCTTACAGGCTAGACCACATGCACGTGTGTCTGCCTCGGACAAAGCAGCAAGCCTGCTGCAGCTTAGGTAACATGCTACCGTGCTGCAGTGTCAACTATATAAATGTAAAAACATGTGGAAGAAAAAGGGAGGGTGTGAGCTTTCTCTCTTTTGTTATAACACATCCCACCATATTTACGTGTTGAACAGTTTAATATTAACTGCTATGGATAAATTTCTCCAAAACACTTGCCCTTTTAACCTGGCGTACCACATTTGTTGCAGTTTAAGACAGAGGAGCATAGCCATCTGCTTGTTTTAGTGAGGTTAAAAGAGGGCAGAAACCACGTTGGTTTTTGGACACCGGACAGTGATAATAAAGTAAAAAAATTTCTTATGAGCTGAAGCTGCTGTTGGCTTCCTCACCGCTCATTCAGAGACATCTTGGTGGTGCTCTTTAGCACAACCTTCGGTGCTGACTGTGCAGCCATCTTCAGATCAAGAGAATCTGCAAAACACAAGAACTAGATTTAACAAAATGGCACGGAGATCTTGTGCTTATTCAACTAAACATTAAAAAAACCCCTGCATTCTGGCTCCTTTGGTGGAAAGAATCAACAACAGTAACAGGCATTCTATTAATGCATTTTAAATAATTTTTCTAGGCCGCTGCCATGATACAGCAGATTTAATAAATCAGGAAGTTAACTCATCCTTACTAACAAGTCATCTTTTTAGAAAGTGAAAATAGCTTTTTAATATCTAATACTCTAGCAGGCAGCTCATCCGCAAACCTGATGCGGTTCTCTAACATGAGAACCTGCCACATGCCTCATGAAAGCAGCAAAGGGATTTAAACTCAGCTGTTCCTGATCTTTGGAGCACAGATCCAAGCCCGAGTGCTTTGACAGTGATGAATACGACTGAAACGTGCTAAGCTCAAACCCACTAACTATGCAGATCAATTTCTTTTATTTTTTTTATAATTAGTACCAGATTTAGTATTCAAATGACTGCCAGAAGAACTCATCCTCAAAATACCTTAACAAAATGCTTTCTTTACGATGCTTTACACTTCAACAGCTAGAAATTAAGCCAAGAGGCAGCCACACACCATTTTTTTTAAATTAAAAACGTTTTTAAAGAGCATTTTTCCTGAGTAACAGCTCGCAGAGGAAGCCCCGCTCCCCCAAACCCACCACGCAGCGCGGAAGCAGCCCCGGCACCGCCGGCCGAGGCCGGGGAGGAAGGCGAGGCCTGGTCTGGGCCGTCGATCCAGCCCCATCCAACAGCTGCCTTACGAAATTGGGAGAGAAAGCCCGGCCGTGGAGGCACAAAGCCTGGGCAGGGGCAAACACCTCATCATCACCCCCTCCCTCAAAGGGCAAAAAACAGCCCCCCCGGCCGCCTTGAGGGGACCCCGCGGCCTCCCTTACGGAGCCTCCCTCCTCCCGAGCCCCTTTCTCGCAGCCGCCCGGCCAGGGCGAACCCTTCTCACCGAAGCAGACGGTCGCCAGGTCTCCGGTGGGGCTGACTGGCGGGTGGCGCGGGG